AGATTACAAATTGAGTAGTGTTATATATCATCATACTGATAAAATATAGGTGATGCGATAACTCATTATTCTTTACAATTCTCTACCTCACTCCCCATAAAAATTGAGATGTCCAATTTTATTATTTCACACAGACTGTTATATCGTCTATATTCCATCGTCATAATGATAAATAAAATTATTCTTACAAATTTGTACAAGGAAGCGGGATAGAGTTTGCTGGTAACTTTGATACTTAGCCCTTGTTCGGGCTCCATTAAAATGTAATTTTGCGAAAAATGTATTTTGAAATAGTGTTTTTTGGATACTGTGTGGTTAAAAAAGAAAGAAATGTTTCGAGTTTACGTAAAATATAATTTTATTGAGAAACGTGTTATTGAACATAAGAAAAAGAAAAATATATTAAAATTAAAATGAATCTAAACATGGGCTTAATTTGTCATAGCATAAAAATGCTCGAAAAAAAATCAAAGTAAGATCCTTTAAATACTTTCATTGTTTATTACCAAAGAATTTTTTTTTTGTCATAAATCGGATAAAAATATTGTTATAGTTATGATTTGAATTAGAACGATATCAACGTAGTAAATATCGTATTGAAACAACATGGATGTCGTTATATGCGTGGTCCATGCCGATGCGCTTGCACCTTCACCTCCCGAGAGAAACATGTCCCTTAGACGTGTGTTCATAACACCCTAAGTAGCGTGTGCGATGCAAGTTTTTTATCGAAACGACTTCTATGTCATTTAATTAATCTATAACGACTTCAATGTTAGTATGAAAAGCAGTAAAGGAATGGGTATTTGATACGAAAATGACATCAATATCATTTTGTATCTCAAGAACGATTTTAATATCGTTATGTTAATCAGTAGAATTTTTGTATTGAAACGACATCAAAATCATTTTGTGTTTAGGAATGATTTCAATGTTATTAAATGAATGAACGCATTTTTGTATTGGAACGACATCAATATCGTTTTGTGTCACCTTGACTTGATTCCTTATTGGTAGAGGTGTTGACTCTGTGTACATAATTACATTATACCTTTGTTTCTTAGACCGTGGCTTCTCCTTGATTCGGATGGAGCCTACTCTAGTACGAGAGGGCTGCTATACTCTATTTTTCTGACAGGTCTGGTTATAGCTACCATCCATTCAACACCTTGCCAAAAAGATCCTTCTAAAAGGATATGGCGGATCAAGATTCTAATAAATTCGTCAGGGGATGTATGAAGTGTCAAATTCATGCCGATCTGATTCATGTGTCGTCATCATCAATCCATCTTATGTCGTCTCTGATAGAATGCTCATTCTGGCTTCTCATCTAGCTTCCCTCCCACAACTCAACCCTATTTCTTATTATTTCATTATTTTGGTATTTTAGATTGAACGAACAGCTTATGCTTCTAATAAATTCTTAGCTAGCTAATATGCATCTACGAGAAGCTATTTTTTTTTATGTAATATTACATTATATGAAAAAAAAGATCAAGTAGCGAGTAAACAAGATCGAATTATAGGTTGTTAAAGCTATAGGAAGAAGTGGGATCTCTCTAATATAGGCAAGCTAATAAGGACTAGCACGTTACCAATCAGATAACAAGGTCTGTCTCTACTTTTTTCTTCGACCTGGAAGCGAGTAGAATGTTTCGATACCAAGCCTACAAAAGAATGAATCGTTCCCTTACCACAGAGCTATTTTGGCACCTCTTTCTTGGTAGATTTCGAGGATTTTCGGCTAATTTCAATAGTCAAAGTACGTTCGAGAAGTTGTCAAACATCTTGTCTTTAAAATGAGTATATGTGAGAAGGCTTCACCTTCATGTTCACATTGGTGAAGGACATAAGCGATTGAATCAGAGTACTAGGGCTAGGGATCGGGTCGCTCCTCATTTGTTATATGCGAGGAGGGAGGATGCTTTGGTTGCACCCCGGAAAGGGCTATGAACTCCAATAAAGGAATGAAGTGTATATCGTTACTTGAAGCGGTACTTATATTTTTACGTAATGAACTAACTGTCATTTTATTGGTTATGGAACAATATCATTATCCTTGACATGTACGATATTTAAACTTGAAAGTTATAAATGCCCGAAAATATGTAGATTTCAATTACATTCAATATCGTTAATAATCATAATTGCAAATGCACTAGCAAGTTGCTACACAACATTCTCAAAATATCAAGTAATCTATACAAAGAAGACGAAGTAGATATACAACATTTTTAAAACATCAACTACTCTAGATGAACAAAACAAAGTAACTACAAAATTATATCAAAACATCAATAAAAATAGCAAGAAATAATCTAATTCTCGAAGTCATATGCCTCAGCCTAAGAAGTGATCGAAAGCAACTCTCCTGAAGCTTGTTCTTCATAACACTGCAAAATACAAAATAATTACAAATATTAGAACAAGTGATGACAGTGAAGCACATAAGAACAAGATGTATAAGCCGTATAAACCAAGTTAAGCATACAGATTTTCGATAAGAAAAAAGAAATTTTGTACAGATTGCAATCACTATAGTACTTCATAATAAAAAAGTTCTACTAATATTTTGCCGATGCAATTGCTATAGTGCTTTATAACCAAATGTGAAATCATCATGAAAGATTATGCTTCATTTCACACATTACTTGATAGTTTAATTAGAGGAATTAAGTCCAATTCCAAGCACAAACTCCTATTTTTTCCTCATAACTTAGAAGACAAAACATCAAATCGGGAAAGAGTCAAACACAATGAGCCTTGTGTCACTTTCAACTCACATACGTATTTGGGAAATGAGTAAAAACAATGAGCCTCAAGTCACTCTCATACATATTTGGGCAATATATCTATTATCTTATTTTGAACATCTTCTTTTACTTATGTCTCATCCTATTAAATAAGCATTACATTGCGGAGCAAGTATGATATCAATTTTGAACCTCATTTTAAGTACATGTCACTCTCTGAAAAGTTTTATTCTAATGTGTAAGGCGAGCTCATATGGTGAAGTCACCATTTTCACCAAAATTGGCAATAATATTTCAAATGGTATTTAGCACTGCATCATTGTGAAGGAAATGCAAGACTTTGCACATCAATTGCTAGACAAAAATTCTAATGGATTTTTTTAAAACAAAATTGAGAAAGATAGTCAAGTGGAAACTAAAAAATAACGTCATCGAAAAGCAAGAAATAGAGCCCAATTTTGGAAAAAGCCACGAATGGCTTTTACAAATTATACTTGAGGGGCGGTCAATTCTAAAGACAAGGAGAAAGTCACAAACAATATCATCAAAAATTCAAGAGAGATATTGACATAAAATAGTTGTTGCATAAGGAAAATTACCATCATAAAATAACAACTTTGAAAAATAAATTCCAAGGAGCTAGAAGCGTTTGAGATTAAATCATTCACACACAATCAAATCAAGTCGGAAACAAATAGAGCCCAGTAGAATTAACGATGTTTCTAAATAAACGTCTGATATTACCTCCAAAATTTGATAATGAAGAAAATGACTTATCCTCGTAGAAACTACTGATAATGGTGCCAAGAGGTGATTAACACATCTCCCTTTTTCGATCATAGGCATAGGTTACAAACCTTTTTCGACCCATTTGATGTTTCGATTTGCCATTGCTTCCCAATAAGTTACGCAAATATTTAAAAACTGAACATACAACTAAAAAATCAAAGGACGAAATGGGTTTCTTGGCAACAGAGAGAGGGCAAAGAGTGCATTGTGCTAGAATATTCCTCATTATGCATTTTTATATTGTTTTACAATAATTCTAATAATTGACAAAGAAATTCTTTATTGGGTCACACTCATTATTTCAAATTATTTGATCGTTCACTTTTGATTTGAATTTATACTTCCAAAGTAAGCAAAAGAAATCCTAATTTACACATAAATGTATCCAAGTGTTCCATTTACAAAAATAAAAAAGACATAAATTTTGGGATGTGCAAGTTCAACACTATAAAGAATGATTACCTCATCCACTTACTCAACTGATTTAATAAAATTTGAAACCAATTTCTTGGCTTTTCGAAGCTTTTCTTCTGGATAATTTTTCAGCCCCAAGCCAATTTCACGATACTCGTCAACTTTTCTTTCCTCTTCTTGCCACCTCTAGCATGATTTCTTCATCTTTTTCCCTTTGCTTAGCTTGCCATTCCTACCTGACATAAAGGAAGAAGATATGTTCTATTTGGTTGGTGAAACTTGAGATTGAGGAGAAAGGAAGAAGATAGGTTTGATTTGAGAATGAAGATTTTAACCAAATCCCTTTTTCAAATTTCAATTTGGGGATAAATGGTTTTGAAGTGAATAAATCTTCAATTCCTCCTTCAATTTAGCTTTTTACAAGGAATGATTAAATAGTCTTATTACACTTTTAAATAATTATATTTTATTTTATTTTTGAGAAGTTAGTCTAAGGCCTATTGGACAAAAAGAGATTGAAGAGTGGACATTTGAACTCATTCCCCCGTAAAAATTTCCACCCTCCCATTCTATATCTTTTCATCAAACAATTGCATTTTTTAGTTCAAAATTCAAATTTTTTCTCTTTCTAAAAATTCATGGACTTTAGGAGAGAATGACAACATATAAAGCAGCATGTAAAACCCTCTAGATTTGCAGTTTTTGTTTAAAAAGAACTCCATATCTTTGTCACTCCATGCCAAATATTTTGTTTCAAAGTTGCGTGGTAAAAACAAAGTAATGGTCATTGGTTTCAGTGTAATCGAGTCGTTACTCCATGCGAAAAAAAAAATAAAAATCAGGAGACTATTGTTCGAAAATTTAACATGAGAAAGAGCAAATTGCCTTGAAAAAAGAGCCTCAACTCTTCGAGTTTGAAGGAAAACTACTTTATTATTATTATTTGCTTGATTAAAATGTACTAAATACATTTTGACACCTAGATCAATGCTCTAATACAACAATAATCATCCTCACAGTTACAAATTTTAAAAATTAAAAATCTTAATATAAAGCATTCCCTTTTGAGATAACATAACTTGGACATTTCCTATATAAATACTTGTTAACATCCGATTCTCTAAAATCACAAGGCACCTCCTCATCTATTCTTCCTATTCTTCCCACCCCTATACTGTAACTCCTCTCTGCCACCTCGACTGGCGGCTTTTTCAACACTAAATTCCCGTTGCTATCAACATCGACCCTTACGCCACCGCCTTTTCTGGCAGATGCCTGTCGAATAAGTTCCATGATATCTCTATTATCACTTTCCTTAGACAAGTTGACACCTGAGTCCTTGCACAACTGAGGCTGTACAACGCGATCTTGATCAATCCTTTTAGCACAAACAAAAGTCAGAATTCTTATTGGTGCTGTCATGAAGTGAAAGAACTTGTTCTGCTTCTTTTCTTTGTTTCTAGCCATGTGGGCCTAATGTACTTTGAGTCACGTTGATCTGGATAGAACACGAGATTGAGTCGAGGTGCTTGTTTGACAATGAACTCACAGCTGCTTTCGAATATGATGCGTGCCAATGATATATGTTGTACTAAAAGTACTTTAAGTCACGCAAATCGAGGATAGATGAATCAAGTTGTAACCCGATGGCGCTATCCGACCAACGAGGATCAAACGTTGGGAAAATCTACACTATCTCAATGAAGAAATTGAAGAGCACGAAAGATGTGGTAGAGTACAATCGAATCGAGGTGAGTGTTCAAGGAAGAACTTGCAGATGATATGGAAAATGGGACATATATATATGCAAATGATTTGTATAATGGTTGATTTATTCACTAATGTGCGTGTTTATGGATTATTTGACTTAAGGAAGTGGTCTGTTTAAAGAGTCAAAAAGTATATACTATGGTGTGGACTCATTCTAAATTGACATTCATACTAATTCAAAACAATGGTCTAATTGGCATATTAATTATTAAATATTGCTGTAAATTGTGTGTTAGTATGAAGTACCCTATAAGATTTAGAGTTAATTTCACTAATGGTCACTAATTGCATGTATAAAATTCTAAATTCGTTATTAAGCTACTGTTTGGTAGAAATTAAAATCCAGATATTAATCTAAATCAAAGTCAACAAATAATTTTAATTATATATTTTATGGGACCCACACTTTTGAACCACACAAATAATCAACTTTTTTCAAAATTTACTAAAAATCTTATTTTAATCCCCACCAAATAGGAGCTAAAGATTTTTTAAATTTATATAGTTACTAAGCCTGCGTTTGGTACGCATTATTTTGGGCATTATTTTCCAAAAAAATGCATTCTAGCATCACATCAAATGGGTCCCACGTCTGTAGCTTGGTTTTGTAGTCAAATGGATTGTAGTGATTTTTTACAACTTTGCCCTTTAATCATTTTTTTGCTGTTGAATTTTAAATTACATTGAGTGTAAATGTGGGAGTCCAATTCAGAAATTGTCAAAATTGGCACTGTAGGGCTGAACCTTTTGTCAGGGTTTGTCTGTTGCAACGGTTGGATTTTTTCTATTTGGCCACAAATAATGTGTACCAAACACAGGCTAAAATAAAATGATTTCACTGATGGTCACCTGATTTGACCATCGATCATTTGCTGAACCTTTTTATTAACGTAGTAAAGACTAAAGGGGTTCCTTGCAGATATGGGAGTCCAAAAGTCTCGAATCGAACCAAAGCGAATTGAATCGAGCGGTTCTTCGTAAATTAAATACCCGAACGGGTACCCAAATCAAGAACCGATGAGTTTGGGTCGGGTTTCGGGTCTAGACAAAGAACCGAAGAACCGAATAAGAACCGAAACTAAATAATTTTTTTATTTTTATATTGAATTAATTAAATTATTTTATTTTTTATAAACAAATTNAAGCCTGCGTTTGGTACGCATTATTTTGGGCATTATTTTCCAAAAAAATGCATTCTAGCATCACATCAAATGGGTCCCACGTCTGTAGCTTGGTTTTGTAGTCAAATGGATTGTAGTGATTTTTTACAACTTTGCCCTTTAATCATTTTTTTGCTGTTGAATTTTAAATTACATTGAGTGTAAATGTGGGAGTCCAATTCAGAAATTGTCAAAATTGGCACTGTAGGGCTGAACCTTTTGTCAGGGTTTGTCTGTTGCAACGGTTGGATTTTTTCTATTTGGCCACAAATAATGTGTACCAAACACAGGCTAAAATAAAATGATTTCACTGATGGTCACCTGATTTGACCATCGATCATTTGCTGAACCTTTTTATTAACGTAGTAAAGACTAAAGGGGTTCCTTGCAGATATGGGAGTCCAAAAGTCTCGAATCGAACCAAAGCGAATTGAATCGAGCGGTTCTTCGTAAATTAAATACCCGAACGGGTACCCAAATCAAGAACCGATGAGTTTGGGTCGGGTTTCGGGTCTAGACAAAGAACCGAAGAACCGAATAAGAACCGAAACTAAATAATTTTTTTATTTTTATATTGAATTAATTAAATTATTTTATTTTTTAAAAACAAATTAACAAATTAATTAAATAAATCAAATTATTTCATAATTTTAATTTTAAAGCCCAAATCATTTTTAAAGCCCATTAGTCCATTTTAATTTGAAGCAAATGAATATACTTTATATAGTGTTGATGTAATATTAATATTTACTTTTTCGTATTTGTATGCATTGAATTAATCTTATTGGACGGCTAGTTATTTATATATTTTTGAATTGGGCTACATTAATTTGTAAAAGTTACGAATGAAATGTCATTAGTTGTATTTATATAATGTTGCTGTAAATATTAAAAAATTTAATTATGGTACGGAACCGAACGAACCCGAACCGATCTGAACCGAATCGAACGGAACCGAACCCGAACTGTTCCATAATTATATTTGGACCCGACGGTTCCATTTATTAAATATCCGAAAGTTTTGGGTCGGTTCGGGTCTCTTCAGAATCGAACTGAATCGACCCACAGACAGCCCTACTTGCGGATGAACCGCGACTAAATAAACATTAATGTGGCATTTGCATCGGCCTAGTCCAACTTTAGAAATACCAATTCAATATCAATTAAAATTATATAAAAACAAAAAAGAAATATAATTCAATAAAAAAAACAAAGAAAAATCTTCTCTTTACCAAAAGTGGAAATTACACCCAAACCATTTTTTTTTTCCAAAAATAAGATGTTAAGTTTATTTAATAAAAAATCAGGTGATAAAATAATAATAATAATAATATGAAATTAAATTAATATATACACCCACCCACCCCAGCACACCCCCACCCCGCCTATCTATCCCAACCCAATTTCACTAACAAACCTAATTTATTTTCCAACATATTCCCTCTCTCTATCTTCTTTCCATTTACAAAATTCTTTACTCCGGTGCTGATTTGAGATTGACGCAGCTGCAAGAGGTGGTGATGTTGGTTGTGTTTTGGTTTTGGATCCAGTTTTGGGAGGAGGAAAGGGAGGAGGCGGAGGTGGTTGTGATGGTGGTCATGGTCGTGATTGATAAATTTGGATTTGAATTTTTTGTGTTTATTTGGATGGTGGGTTGTTAAGGTTGTATTTGTGTCTATGTTGTTGGTGATGGGGTTGTGTTGGTGATGGGGGCGCTATTAGGTTGTGTTGTTGGTGGTGGTCGCAAGTAGTCGTGGTGGCGGTGGCAGTCGTGTTGGTGGTATGGTATGTGACCAACTATTTGGTTAATCTGTGACCAACTATTTAATTGTGATCTAAAAATTCGATAATTTGTGACCAACTAATTCGAAAATCTGTGACCAACAAATAAATTGTGACCTATAATTTTTTTAATTTTTGACAGATGAAATAAATTGTGACATATCAAAATTTTTTATTATGAATAATTAATTTAATAATATATGATCAATAAATAAGTTGTGACATATAAGTATGCACTAGTGACATTAATTGTATAATTGTAATTTTAATATATTTAATTAATAAAATAATTTTAATTAATTAGTACCCGAATTTTGAATTTTGAAACTTAAAATCTGAAAATTGAATTGCACATACTTAATGTTTGACTTGTGAATTTTTTGCTTTCCAAAATTCACCCTCACAAAGAAGACGGTGTCCAGAAGTACTCTGTAGCCCAATTTGGACACTGTCAACCCATAAAGCTTTATAAGATCGTGTCCAAAATTACCCATAACCCTATCTTCAAAGTTTCAATTACAAAACTTAGGTCATTATTATTATTATTATACCCCATAACGATCATACACACCCTCCACTTTTCTCTCTATCTCTTGTTATGAATAAAGTTGTCTGTATACATAAAATATATAGATAATGTTACAAATGCACACATGGAGTTCATCGTCGGCCAATTTGAATTGCAAAAATTCAAACTAGCCAATAGATGCATACCACACGTGCTTCTGTCAAGTTATCTGTACATTTTATTTGTTCAGATAACACGATCCCTCTAATAATAATAATAATAATAATAATCCATTTCGAAGTGCAATGTGAGCCTCTTTATCCTTGATTTGTCTATGATAAGCAAGGAATTGAAAACGATGATTTTCGTCTTCAACCATTCAACTTCCGGACTTGGCACTTCCTTTATCACTCGAACTCGGCCAAAAAGATCTCTAATGAAGCGAATACAAGTTATTAATGCTGCCGTTAGCAAAATGCAATGATGTATTCATCAAGGGGAACTTTTGAATCCAAGTGATGCATCAAATGAAGATATCGTAAGTATTACTTGTAATGTATGCTTCCAAATGTTAAGTTTCTATTAAGTTAATGCTACGTTGTCTTTGTTTTGTAGATGTTTTGAGCCAAAATGCTATTATCTGAAGACCAGAATTACAAGAAAGTGTTCAAATTTGACGACGTTTGGCCTATACTTAAATATGTCAAAAAAAATTGGAGATGGCGTTAATACGGCCAGAGCAACCTACAACGGAAAAAGCGG